CGCGTATCGCTATCTCATTTCATTGTAGGAAATCTCCCGTGCATGGATCAACCCTTATTGTTGGGGGGAGAGATACTAGCATACAATTTAGGTAATAGATGGCTTGCTATACAAATCCCACTGTACACATTTTGCATGAATTGTTAATACAAACTCAACTTTACATGATTGATTTATACTTAATTTATTATCAATTCTACTACGGTAGATCACCCACTTTTTATTGATATATATATATATATATATATATATATATATATATATATATATATATCACTTAATTTAACTATATGATGATGATTTACGAAAAAAATTATGCGCATTTAAGAGCTGTTTGATAGCGCTACTTAAGGTTTAAAACTGAATGCTTTAAGCACTTAATGAATTATATCCGTTTTATAACCTAAAACTCATACCACTCAATATTTTAAGCACTTCTTAAAAATAGGCTAAAATTTTAAGTAGCAAACTACCTACTTATCACTTAATGTTGAAAATGTTAGTCAATAAGAATTTTATTATTTCTCCATAATGGATAAATATACACTCAATGCATCTTACACTCTTAACTTTTCTATATCTGCCACCACCAATGTGACGCCGTCATCACCACCATTGTGTCGCCACCATCATTGCCATTATGCCATAATTACCATTTTGTCGCCGCTAGCACCATTTTATCGTTATCACCACTACCATTATGCTGCAATTACCATTATGTTGTTGTTACCACCACTACCATTATGTCATTGCCACCACCACCACCACCACCCTGCCACCACCACTATCGTTGTGTCATCGTCACCATTATCGCCACTACCACTATTGTATCATTGTCGTTACCACCACCACCATTATCGTCACCTCCACCACCACAATTATGTCTTCGCCACTACTATCACCACTATTGTGTTGCCGCCACCACCACCGTCACTGCCACCACTACCACCATTATTGTGATGGTGGTAGTAGAATTTATCATTCACCATTCAGTTTTCAATATTTAGTGTTTAATTTTATCAAACACCACCTTAGATGAGATTTGAATTCTATGATGCGGCTTTGGTTGTTGTAGGAATTAGAAATAATAAAATTGTAGTAAAGAAGATTAGTAGATATTATTACCCTATGGTGAATGATGCATAAGGAGGGAGGCTAGGTGTTATGTGCATATTTTTAATATAATTTTTTTATAATTTAAGGGTTGGTTATTGAAAGATTATTTGTGAGTACATTAGTGGTAGAATATTTTTGTGAGTAATTTTTTAGATAGTTACTAATATAGTGGAATTATGAGTTAAGTTAGTTGTTAAAATAACTTTTATTATTTTGTATTTAAAAGTCTTTTTACCAATAGAAATAATATGTGAAATATTGTGATAATTTTTTTTGTGAAGTTTTGAAAATTTGGTTCTTATCAAATTGGACACGTTTTTTTGCCCCTCGAAGTGAGTTTCNGATATATATATATATATATATATATATATATATATATATATATATCAATCACTTAATTTAACTATATGATGATGATTTACGAAAAAAATTATGCGCATTTAAGAGCTGTTTGATAGCGCTACTTAAGGTTTAAAACTGAATGCTTTAAGCACTTAATGAATTATATCCGTTTTATAACCTAAAACTCATACCACTCAATATTTTAAGCACTTCTTAAAAATAGGCTAAAATTTTAAGTAGCAAACTACCTACTTATCACTTAATGTTGAAAATGTTAGTCAATAAGAATTTTATTATTTCTCCATAATGGATAAATATACACTCAATGCATCTTACACTCTTAACTTTTCTATATCTGCCACCACCAATGTGACGCCGTCATCACCACCATTGTGTCGCCACCATCATTGCCATTATGCCATAATTACCATTTTGTCGCCGCTAGCACCATTTTATCGTTATCACCACTACCATTATGCTGCAATTACCATTATGTTGTTGTTACCACCACTACCATTATGTCATTGCCACCACCACCACCACCACCCTGCCACCACCACTATCGTTGTGTCATCGTCACCATTATCGCCACTACCACTATTGTATCATTGTCGTTACCACCACCACCATTATCGTCACCTCCACCACCACAATTATGTCTTCGCCACTACTATCACCACTATTGTGTTGCCGCCACCACCACCGTCACTGCCACCACTACCACCATTATTGTGATGGTGGTAGTAGAATTTATCATTCACCATTCAGTTTTCAATATTTAGTGTTTAATTTTATCAAACACCACCTTAGATGAGATTTGAATTCTATGATGCGGCTTTGGTTGTTGTAGGAATTAGAAATAATAAAATTGTAGTAAAGAAGATTAGTAGATATTATTACCCTATGGTGAATGATGCATAAGGAGGGAGGCTAGGTGTTATGTGCATATTTTTAATATAATTTTTTTATAATTTAAGGGTTGGTTATTGAAAGATTATTTGTGAGTACATTAGTGGTAGAATATTTTTGTGAGTAATTTTTTAGATAGTTACTAATATAGTGGAATTATGAGTTAAGTTAGTTGTTAAAATAACTTTTATTATTTTGTATTTAAAAGTCTTTTTACCAATAGAAATAATATGTGAAATATTGTGATAATTTTTTTTGTGAAGTTTTGAAAATTTGGTTCTTATCAAATTGGACACGTTTTTTTGCCCCTCGAAGTGAGTTTCTTTTTCCTTTGTTCTGTCAATTTTTAAAAAGTGCACACGTAACACTAGGCTACGAGGGGCGTAGAGGTGCAATTTTTACTCTGCAAATGAAAGCTGCATCAACCGCTTTAAATGTGAATTGATTCATCCCAAACAAACAAAACTGCAAATTTGGGGGAGTCGATACGGAGAGAAGGCTACGGTTCCCAAGGTGGTATGTATCGAAATTTATAATAGGGTTAATATCATTTTGTACCCTGAAAGATCGTTCGAATCTTAATTTGTATCCCTAAAGATAAAAAATTTCAATTTGCACCCTCAAAGATAGAAATTTGTATCAATGTACACCCCCAAAGATCAAAAATTTTAATTTACACCCTCAAAGATATAAATCTGTATCAATGTGCACCTAAAATTAAATTGATAAATTATACTTAAATCCCCTCGTATTTGTCACTTAATCATTTGAACCCCTTCACATTTAGAATATTACCCCTACATCTCATGACGTTTATACATGTGTAAACATAACCACTTTTCGTTAATATCTATTCATATAATCGTTAAAAAATATGATTTAATCCTTATAAAAAATTATAATTTTATATTACTCTTTATTTTGTGGATTCGATATACTCTAAAGTTCAAAATCAAGCTTACCATTTAAATGTCTAATAGAATGGAGATATTTATATAAAGGAAAATATGAAAAACATTATATAAATATCTACATTTTATTAGACATTCAAATGATAAGCTTGATTTTGAATTTTAGAGTATATTGGACCCATAAAATAAGGGTAATATGAAATTATATTTTTTTATTAGGATAAAATTATATTTTTTAACGGTTATATTAACAGATATCAATGAAAATGAGTTACATGTTGTACGTGCATAAATGTTATGAGATGTAGGAGTAATATTTAAAATGTAAAGAGGTCCAAATGATTAAGTGACAAACATAAGGAGATCTAGGTATAATTTATTAATTTAGTTTTAAGTGCATAATGATACAAATTTCTATATTTGAGAGTGCAAATTAAAATTTTTTATCTTTGGGGTGCACATTGATATAAATTTATATCTTTGAGAGTATAAATTGAGATTTTTGATATTTGGGGGTGCACATTGATACAAATTTCTATCTTTGAGGGTACAAATTGAGATTTTTGATCTTTGGGGGTGCACATTGATACAAATCTCTATCTTTGAGGGTGCAAATTGAGATTTTTGCTCTTTGAGGGTGCAAATTGAGATTCGAACGATCTTTTGGGGTGTAAAATGAGATTAACCCTTTATAATATATTAAGGTTGAAGTTATAATTTTTTTGAAATATAAATTATACTCCCTCTGTTCTTAAATATCTGTCGTTTAAGGTTTTTACACAAGGATTAAGGAAGTTATTAAATAATTTTAATATAAATAAAAAATAATTACACAAGATTAAAATATTAATTATGTTTTAATTTCATTAAACGACAGATATTATGAAGCAAAAAAAAATTGTGTAAAACGACAAATATTTAAGAACAAGAGAGTAACTTTTAAAGGGTATGATTGATTATAATAGATTGTGATTGATATTAAAATTGCAACAGTTAAAGGTTAAATTACAATTTTTAAAGGTAAAGGTATAACTCATAAAAAAGAAGTTATAATTATTTAAGGAAAGTACTTGATTAATCATGTGTATCTGTTAATGATTATGATTCCATTGAAAAATTATAACTTCTCCTTGCGGGTTATAATTTTAACACAAAAGTAGCAAGTGAGGGTACGATATCAATTTTTTTTTATTTGGTACCGTGGCCTTTCCCCTTGATACGTGGTCAAAACGCGTAAATAACCTACCAACTTTGTTTCCCTCGGCCTCGGAATTGGACGTTCGGTTGTCCTTTTCATTTCTTTCCTTTTTAATATAAAGTTGTACACGTAACATCAACTTAAATTGATAATTATCGAGTTTTTTAGGATTTTTTATTATGTCTTTATTCCTAAAAATAATAATTGTGATATTTTTAGGGTATCATTAAAGATAAGACTGTGTAAAAATAAGACTGTATACATCTTATTATCCTCTATAGACCACGTAATAGAGGAACCCTCATTCATTGAATAGGCCTTTTATATAGTTAAGCATTTGTCTAGTTTCATATTGATCTAATAAGTCATGTTAAAAATTATCTTCCAAATTCGGGTGAACATGAAGTCATTGTAGAATTTACATTACGTACGTGCGTGGGAAGGGGCCCATTGGGTTTGAACTCTATTAATACAATACCCCTTTCCCAGATCCTTCCCCAGATCGGAATTGAGCGTCTCAAAGTCTTAAATAAGCACCACCGCTCCTGAACTCTTATTGCTCACCGTCTAGTCTCTCTCGTTCTCTTTCTCTTTCTCCATCCATTAGAGTGTGATTCTGGGTTCTTTTCTTAGGTTTTTCTGTTGTGTGATTTTCAAGAAGAAATATGTCCAGCGAAGCTCCTATATTAAAAGATAGTACTATAGAAGTAAGCCAGGAGGAATTTCCTCAACAACTCAAAGAAAAGAAGCTTTCTTGGCAAAAGCTAAGACGATATGACTCTCTAGATGTCGAATCCGGCAAGCTTCGTCATGGCCACCCCCGCCATGGCTTCAAGGTCTCTCTCTCTCTCTCTCACATGACACCAAATAACAGGTCATATAGTTATATGGTTCATGGAAGATAAATCTTCTATTGATTATCAGGGATTTTCTTTCTTTTATTTTTTATTTTTTGAATTTGTAGGGTGCAGAGTGGTCGGTGATCTTGCAACTAGCCTTTCAGAGCCTAGGAATTGTGTATGGGGACATTGGTACATCACCTCTATACGTGTTTTCCAGCACCTTCCCCAACGGAACTATCAAGCACAACGATGATATTTTGGGTGTTCTATCGTTGATCTTCTATACTATCACCTTGATAACTCTTGTGAAGTACGTGCTCATCGTCTTATGGGCAAACGATAACGGCGATGGTAATAATTCTCTTCTTGCGCACGATACTTTGTATGTCATCTTGGTATTACAAAAGTTTTTCTTTCCTACATGTTTCATGCGTTTCTTTGATTAAATCAAGACTAGATAATAAACCCTTCACGATAGTTCGGCTCCGATAAAAGAGTTTAGTAATTAATAAGACTTCTCGTACTTTGTACCTCAAAAACATTTCCTTTGGTGAATATCAAAGCCTCTGATGTAAACAAACATACAATGTCTCTTCTCGACAAAATCATGCCACGCAAACTAGACAGGAAGCACACAAATGGTGTCTAGGGAATTTCTCATTATTAAAATGCTCTCTCTCTCTCTCTCTCTCAAACATACATGACAAAAAAAAAAAATTATTGAGCATTTCCCAAGTTATCTTATGTATGTTTATACGTGCATGCCTTTGATTAAAAAAAAAAAAAAAAAACTAAGGCTCAAGTTTCAACCTGGGGCCCTCAATCGGTCAGTAATTAAGTCGAAATTATCCGATAATGCATCAATTATATATGTTCAACATATTCAACATCTTCGGTTCGATTAACATCTTTAATAATGATCAGGAGGAACATTTGCTTTGTACTCTCTAATATGCCGATATGCGAAGGTGGGTTTGATCCCAAGTCAAGAAGTTGAAGATCGAGATGTGTCAAATTTCCAACTGCAATTGCCAAGCAACCAGCTCCGACGAGCGTCAAGGCTTAAGTCAGTGCTTGAGAAGAGCCAATTTGCCAAGTTCTTCCTCTTGTTTGCCACCATGCTCGGTACTTCCATGGTGATTGGAGATGGTGTCCTCACTCCTTGCATCTCAGGTTCTTTCTCATCATCTCTGCTTTATTACAAATGCGTATCATATTAATGCATTATCAAGACTAAAAGTATTAAAATCACCGAAAAAGTCTGATGAGAGATTTATTTCTCTTTAAGTCGGCATGGATGTGTTGCCTTTGACTGTACCAGAAAAAAAGTTAATTAAGGTGTGCATAAATTAACTTGGGCACACTGTAATGTGTTGAATAAAAAAAAAAAGTATTGAGACCACCCTTGACGTGTACAAAGACGTAATAGGGCTATACCTTCACCTAATAATGGGCCTCAATTTGACTAATGAAAATTGATCATGTCAATTAAAAAAATTATATTAAAAAATACCTAAAAATAATATTTTATGGGGGAGGGATCTGTAATTATTTTCACCGACGGAAAGGGTTTGGTGGTTTCGTCCGTTACTGCAAAGCAAATATACTTTGATATTTGTCGGATATTCGAAGATATGTATTGGATACGTTTCTTACGTATTCAATTATAATTATAATTAAATATTAAAATATTTTATGAATACTTTTATATTCAAGCAACATATATAATTTTTGAATTGAATTTTTAACATTTTCTTTCAAATTCACATATCATACAATACATTAACAAAAATTTATATTACTTCAAAGACACATGAGTATTTTTTAAATATTATCTACAATTACATGTCAAAAGAGTACAAAATAAATCTACTACGTTATAATCCGAGTAAAAATTAATTCTAAATAAATTTGACTCGATACATATTAGTTTTGATTCATTTAATTAATCACTTCACTTTGTGAATATACCATAGTGATACGATATATATTTTCTTGAAACTAAACATAATTAATAATTTTTCTTATTGTATTAAAGAATTATCAAAATATATAAGTATTAAATTGATTCAAAATAATAAAAATAATAAATATATTTTATTATAATCGTTTCTTGACTGTACCTATATCCTATTTTTTTAGATTTTATCATATCACCGTATCCGTATCATATTATATTTGTGTCTTCTACCTGTATTCGTGCTTCGTAGTTCTGTTACTCTCCTTATACATGACTTCTGAGTGCTTTTGACTATTTTCCAATAACTATTCAAACTCGTCGGCAGTTTTATCGGCGGTCGGAGGGATCAAGGAAGCCAAATCTGCCATGACAGAAGGTACGTATACGCCGTCTTGCAACAATACTTTTTACTGCTTAGATGTAGACAAAAAGCGTTGAATCCAATTTCTTGAACTATTTTCTATTGTCTTTATTGTGATGAATGACGCACATAACTTAGAAATATTGGTCATATGTCTAGTTCTATTTCTTAGCTAGAGAAATATGGGTCTTTTATTAGTAGTTTGAGTTAAAAACTAATGATTGGCATTATTTTAATTCTTAAAGAACAGTTATCCTTTGTCTTTGTCTTTGTCTCCCAGGTCTTTTGGAATTTTCAGGACAGGTAGATATTAAAAAAAAAAAAATAGAAAAAAGTGGGAAGTCCCCACATAAATTTCTAAACCATTCGTATTCATAGAATATGTAGTGCTACATATCTTTTCTTGGAATACCAAGACTATAATCTCTTACTTGCACCCAATTTTAATAATAAAATTTGATAAACCAAATTGTCAATTCTGTTTTCGTATTAATAATAACTCGAGTTAATATTTAGAAGAACCATTGCTACATGCGTAGTTATTTAAATTTGTGAGATCTATTTACCCATTTGTTATCTTATCATTGAATAGTACACCATATCAACGTAATGACATTGTGTAATCGTTGCGATGAATATTTTTTCACTTATATAGGACTTTTGATGTCGCTTGCTTCTTCAAATTTGAGTTTGAGGCAAACCTTGAGCAACACTAGTAATTAATTTGCACACAAAGAACATCACATAACCAAGTGAAATATGTTGACACAAGACGATTCTTTTCTAGTAAATGCTTGTAACAACAAGTACCTTTTATTTCTCTTTGTATGCAGATAGCATTGTTTGGATATCAGTTGCCATCTTAGTTTGCCTATTCATCTTTCAAAGATTTGGAACGGACAAAATTGGTTACAGCTTCGCTCCAATAATGTGTATTTGGTTTGGCTTAATCGCTGGCATTGGTGTCTGTAATTTCATCAAATATGATCCTACAGTTATTAAAGCTATAAATCCCCAATACATAGTAGAGTATTTCAAGAGGAACAAAAAAGAAGCATGGATTTCTCTTGGTGGCGTTGTCCTCGCCATAACAGGTTACAATTTCATTCTTTTCAATTCAATTTACCCTTTTTTTTGCTGTTTTTTTTTTTTAAAGAATGACTTTAAAAAATGCAGGAACTGAGGCATTATTTGCTGATGTTGGCCATTTCACTGTTCGATCTATACAAATAAGTATGTGTACTATAACTTACCCTGCACTCATATTAGCATACACTGGCCAAGCCTCTTTCCTTCGCAAGCACAATGAATATGTTTCCAAAACCTTCTACAAATCCATCCCAGGTGAGAAATACTTTTCCAAGTCACGATACTTACCCTTTGCATTCCCTCCTTAGTTTGATACTATGTTACTAGTCTGGGGGATTAATTTGTAACGCAGGTCCTCTATATTGGCCTATGTTTGTGGTGGCCGTCTTAGCGGCTATCATAGCAAGCCAGGCCATGATCTCTGGGACTTTTTCTATCATCCAACAATCTCTCTCGCTCGGGTGTTTTCCTCGTGTGAAAGTCATCCATACGTCGGCTAAGTATGAAGGGCAGGTTTACATACCTGAAATCAATTATCTTCTTATGGTGGCTTGTGTTGCAGTCACTCTTGGATTTAGAACTACTGGAAAAATAGGCAATGCATATGGTAAGTCATGTTACTATTACTTTTGTCCTTGTTATTTGGTCATGTTCCAAAATAATATGTCATGTTATGGACTAACAATCATTTAATGAATGCAGGGATCGCCGTGGTTTTTGTAATGACACTCACATCAGGATTCTTAGTGTTAATCATGATAATGATATGGAAAACTCATATACTACTGATAATCACATATATCTTCGTAATTGGCTCCGTTGAGCTTCTCTATCTAAGCTCGGTTCTCTACAAATTTGATCAAGGAGGGTATCTCCCTTTGGCTTTTGCCTTGTTTTTGATAGCCGTCATGTACATTTGGAATGATGTGTACAGAAAGAAATACTATTTCGAGCTAGATAACAAGGTCTCTCCAGAGAAGTTGAAGGACATAGTTGTTGATACAAGCTCTTATCGAATACCAGGACTTGCTCTCTTCTATTCAGAACTTGTTCATGGAATCCCACCCATCTTCAAGCATTATGTGGCAAATGTGCCTGCATTGCATTCGGTCCTAGTTTTTGTGTCCATCAAATCATTGCCAATAAGCAAAGTTCCCGAGGAGGAACGGTTTGTCTTTTGTAGAGCACAACCAAATGATCTCAATGTCTTCCGTTGTATCGTGAGATATGGATACACAGATATCCGCAATGGAGAAGAGCCCTTTGAGAGAATGTTGGTTGAAAGGTTGAAAGCATTCATTAGGGAAGATATAATGTTTTCTACCATTATTCGCAACAATGAAAAGTGTGCAGAAGAGGAAGGAGAATCAAATGGAGGCTCGAGTCATGGTGTAAATGCAGACAATGATGCAAAACGAGTAGATAACGAAAAACAACTAGAGGCCATGGAGAGAGAAATTGAAGCACTGGACAAAGCTTGGCGGGCTGGCGTTGTTCACTTGGTGGGTGAGCATGACGTGGTTGCAGGCAAAGGGGCTGGTATAGGAAAGAGAATCTTGATAAACTATGCTTACAATTTTCTGAAGAGGAACATAAGGCAAAGCAACAAGGTGTTTGATATTCCTCAGGAACAAATGCTAAAAGTTGGGATGACTTATGAGCTCTAGAATAGCAAGCTCAGAAGATCAATGTAATAAAACCTAAATAACTGTGTATACATGTTTTTCTTCTCTACTTAATAGATTTTGAAGGAATTAAAATTCCTATCATCTCTTCAAATTGTAACCATGTACGCTCCGGGGGGAAAGGAAACGAATTGCAATCATGAAAAATATGTAAAAATAAGCAGAGCATTTACCTTCACAATTCCATCATTTTTTTTCTGGTTTCTGCCAGTCCTTTTGTTGATTAACATAACATGTGGCATAAAACATATTCATTGGGGATGCATGTGCACTTACCCCAACAACTGTAGATATATTTTGCATGAATTGGCAGTCCTCAATTACAATCATCTCTCTCTCTCTCTCTCTGGTGTGCTCATGTTTTACATTACTCTTAACTTGAAAAATATTTTTGGAGTGTTGAAAAGGTTCGAGTTCAAACTATGCTTCATGTAAATAACGATAGGATTTAAAAAAATAAGTTAGGAGTCATGATACAAATAGAATAATGCAAAAAGATACGTAATCGTAATTTGGCAATTGGTTCCTTGTGTAGGTGAAGAACAACAAATGCTCTGACTACTTGTACATATTTTTTTGGACTTTTCCTTAGAAGTTATTGCAAGAAAAGAAAAACACAAAGTACACCATTAATTAGATTTCAATACATCCATCTTCTGACCTTTCTTCTATTCTACAGCTCGTAAGTCATGAGAGTCTATTAAAAGTAGAAAATTAGCTTGGTCTGGTCTTGCTTTTATATTCCATTAAAAATAGAAAATTAGCTTGATGTTCAAGGCTATTGGACGCCTACGGAGGGAGCAAAGCGATGAATGCTCGGGGAGCACCGAATATGTAATTTGAAACGTCTCTTCACTTAGCATTAATGATGCGTGACAAAATAACACTCATTGTACTGATCATAGATCATAAGCTAACACGCCTAAAGATTATACTTGAATGGTTGCCATGTCGTCATATTTGAAAGTATAAATATTTGATCAAACCACAATGCATGTAGGAAAAAAAGATTGACCCAACACTGTACATTTTCCTTGAGCTTTTGTCATCGACTGACTTAAACTCCGAAGCGAATATTGCAAGACCACACCCGTGAAAACATATTATATATTGATTTTTAACTTACTCTCAGATCATCAATTTTTCAATTAAATTAGATATTAGAATATTCAAATTTGAACCCGTAAAATATGGCATAATAGAATTGAATTTGTAATTATGATTATCGATAAAAAAAAAAAAACATCAATAGATATGTCGCTACTTGAGTTTAGATTAAACTTAGAACATTAACATGCCTAATTATAATTTAGTCCAAACGAAGGCAAACAAAATTCAACAAATGACGCACAATATATTATGGTGATAACATTCACTAAACAACATTTTTTACATTGAATAACTTTTTATATTATGACGAAACTCAATTTTAAAGGAGATTGAGTGTCATGTAGAAGGAAGATGAATTTAATCTTGTGTAAAGCCCGAGAAAATTTATGTCAAGAACAGTGTTTATAAGCTTGGAGATTTTGGCTGTGCAACTCTACTCAATAGGAGCCTGCCAATCGAAGAGGGTGATGCACATTATATGCCCCAAGAAATCCTGAATGACAAGTATGATCATCTTGACAAGGTTGACATTTTCTCACTGGGAGCTGCTATCTATGAGCTTGTCAAAGGATCTGAATTGCCAGAGTCGGGGCCCTTTTTCCTGAATCATAGGGAAGGAAAACTGCCGCTCCTGCCTGGCCACTCTATGCAGTTTTAGAACGTACTCAAGGTGCAATAGTTATCTACTTTAACACAACTGAATTTTCAATTATTTATTTCTAGTATCTCATTTAAATATCTGTTATTGCTTGAGTTGCAGTGTCTGGAAACAAATAGTTTCCTGGTATCCCACCCGGTGGTGGTGGTGCTATTTGTGTTTGGTATCCTGGGCAGCTGGGTAACATGAGACATATTACAATTACAAATTATAATCTTGTTTGTGTTTTGCATTTCAAAGATCTCCAATTCCACTTTTAACTCAAAACTATGTTGAAGATCATTGGTTCTGTGCTTCAAATGGTCCCAAATAATCTTCTATTGGTCATGGGGATTACAAAATTTACCTTGGAGTTGCTTTAGAGTTTGAAGTTAATAATGTTGGCCAATGTGAGTGTGATGGTAGCTTCAAGATGGAGCAAGTACCACTTACTCTAGGGACAATGTTTTCTAGATCACTAATGCTATTGAGACATAATTTTGGGACTTAATGCATTATCACCATTGAGTTGATAGTGTTGGGATCCGGTGATAATTTAATATTGAGATCCACTGACAATCTAATGACCACAATCATTAAGTCCGCAAATTATGTCCCATAGTTTTTCGGAGGCATCCTTGAGTTGCTTCCAAAGGCTTTAATGTCACATGAACTCAACTTCTTTCTTTTGGAAGAACCAATATATCAACGATTCTACTCAAAAACTAAATTAGAGTAGTTGGTTTATAAGGTACTTTGAAACTTTACTTGTAAAAGTATTCTGATTGTGTTCTCCTGATTTGTCCATCCATCCAGGTCATGATGGATCCGGACCCTTCTCGGCGACCTTCTGCCAAAGAACTAGTTGAAAATTCAACTTTTGACACGCGCCAAAGAACTGGAAAAACCAAGTAAGACCATTTTGTTGATTCAGATTTTGTCTGGGGTTGAAAACTGCAATTGAACTGTAAGAGATTATATATATGACTATTTCTAATGATTGTGTACATCAAATCCTCCATAGATCCCACAATAACGGGAGTCTCGTGGATTAGTATGCCCTACTCTAATGGCTAATCCATATAGAAGAATACAAAGGGAAAAGTTTATAACTGGGCCAGTTTTGTATCAATTGTTTTGAGCCCAGAACATGGGACCAGGTTTTCCATTTGCATGGTACTTAAATTTGTAAAAAGTTACACAAGAAACCTGGTTAAGTGTTGTATTTGTTGTGAATTAGGTGACACTAAATATGCAGTCGTAATGGGGGAGGCCCATGTTCTTTTAGGATTTTCTATATGTAGTGTTTGTTATTTTGGCTTGGAAAAAAATCTAACCGTTTGATTAAATGCTTTAAATTGTGGCGTGGCTCCTTAATATGTTGTAATTCTTGTTTAGGGATGTCAAAATATGATACGATCCGATCCGTTAACACTACACGAGATTAAAAGATTTGGATCTTTCTCAAACCATTCATCTCGTAAATAAATGGACTTGACATAACATCATTGACAAAACATTTGAGTATGAGTGAAGTCTATCAAATGGAATATAAAAGACGATTCGTTTATATGTTTGTTATATACTATTCACGCACGACACGAACTTGATTATGATACAATTTGTTAGACATGAATTAATGAATGAATATGGTATGGATAAAATATATTTTTAACATGAACTCGTTAAAATTTGATACGAATTTGTCTCGTCCAACATGATTAACAGATATTTTTTTGTGAATACTGGTTTACATGTCTTTTGTTCGTGACCAAAGCCCAACAATAACCAATTTACACTCCCCGCAGTTTACTTTATCACTTTCCACAAAAGCAGGTGGTGTACTAAAGAAGCCCATAAAACCGAAGGATGTTCAATCCATTTCTGATTTAAAGGTGGGCTCATACCCATGATAAGAGTATGGGTTTGGCAGCCCAAGTTGTGTGATCCATTTTTTTTCCCACAAGAAAGATTAGTGGGGTCAAGAATCTTGAGAGGCAGTGTGGGGCCTACCTCATGGGTTGTGGAGGAAAGAAGACCAAAAAAAAAAAAAACACAGTGTTATTCTTATTAATTTTTTACCAAATGTTGCTGCTCAAATCAATATCAATTGTTAATTTAATTTTTTCAATAAAATCCACTAATTTAAGAGTCCGTGTTCGATTAGAAAATAAAATTTGATAAATGTTTTAATAAATGCATTATTACTAAAAAAAGAAAGGGACCCTAATGTAAGAAGTTTTTAAAGCTTCTAAGATTTTGTATAGGTTTTTTTTTTCGCTAAGTACTGGCCATGAGATTAAATGGTATGGTCAATTTTGTTGATAAATATGGTGAATTTTACCTGATTTCTTGTTATTTACATTTCTTCTTTGTTGACAACGATTGATAAGGCTTGTACTGAATAGAGATGGTAAGAAAATGTATTAAAAACAAAATGGAGAAACAATTTTTTTCTAAGATGGAATATGCCTATGTTGACATGCATTTCCGCTTTTACAATACAACATGGACGGTTGAACATAAGCTATTCCAAGCAAGAGACAGATTATATGTTAAAATTACGGTACTAATGAGTCTTTGATCCAATAGTACTCTTTATCTTGTGAAGATTTTACCTTTTTAAGATCAAGGATTCAAGCCTCCTTCCCGTCCCCCTCTCCAAAAAAATGTTAAAATTACGGTCGTTTAGCTTGGTCAAGAAACTGCAATTATTGTCTTATAATTTATGTATTCTAAGTTGTTTTAGTTTTGACTATGATATCTTGTGTTTGGCACTTGGGACCAAAAAAGCCGATATAGCATAGCAGAAAGAGTAATATTATTTGACTCTAAACATTTGATTTAGTGATAGAATGACACGTTCAATATCATTACTTAGTGTTAATTGTTGAACTTTCTCATTGAGACTTTTATCACTTTACATTTATTAGGATTAATAAATTCAGTCAAATTTTTAATCTAAATAACATTAGTCAAAGTAGAAAAAAAAAATAGGAAAGCATAAGTAGGAAGGAATCTAATAGAGCTGTCACAAGATGACTTCAGCAGCTGGCACCATGCCAAAATAGAATCCCGGATTCTTATTGCATATGGTTTTGACAAATTGCATTTTATAGTGGAAGAAAAACTGAAGTTGGGAAGTTAAATATTTTATGTTTCATTTGATAATTTATTTTTAAATAATTCTTAAGCAAAAAAAAAAAAAAAATTAAGTCGCCAGATGTAAATAAAGTTGCAACTTGAGCAGACCAACCTGAACTCAACCAGAAAAAATAGTGTTGGGGTTAAAGTTTTAATGATTAAGGTTAGGGTTGAAAAATTTCAATCTAAATTGAATTTGGGCAATGTTCAGCTTAAGAACTTGAGTTCATCGGTTTTACTCGAACCCAATCTGAATTGACACATCAAACCCATATGAAGTTTTACTATAAGTAGATTGTATCTACTGAGCAAATATGTGTTCGATCAAGAATTGTTTCTTCGAAGTATCAAAGGCAAACATGACATCATTATGAACATAATATCCCAAGGTATCAAACCTTAGAAAGAGGCTGACATAACTTCGGGTTCAACCCGAACGCAGCCTGAGTTCAATTTGAATTTATGTTTATGTATGATATTTGTATAAATAATAGAAAAATAAAATATAAATAAATATATTTGTAATAATTATTATTATTATTTAATGAGAGAGTGAAACATGATTTATAAGGACTATAGATGGTGAAAGAAATTTACACAATTGATGTGAGATAAGTAAAAAAGTAAGAGTGTTAGCTCTGATCTGTTGATGTGAACCCGACACAAACGATTATAAAATTGACACGATTATTAAATACGTATAAAAAATAATTTAAACTAATGTTTAATATTCAGAATACATTAAATAGATTTTTTTTTTCATGGGTCTTGACATGAATAATAATGACACGATATGGATAATACAACATGTTGGTCACGCGAGTATGACACGATTGACACCCCTATAAAAAAAAGTAAAAAAAAAATAAGAAATTGTCATATCACATCAGATAGACAATTCAAATGATATCTCCCTTCTCCTTTATATAAAGAAGGCTCACCCTTATACCTTTAATAAGTTATCTTGATGAGTTTCATCTTAGTGAGTCATGCAAGTATATGTGATAGTCTGACATTATGTAAAGGCTTACACCTAATTTAGGATTATTATTTATTGAGCCCGAATCCCAAAATCAATTCAGACAATATTCAGTTGATGTAAGATTAGGATTAGAGTTAGAGCTAAAGATTTTATACCTAAGGTTAATTTATGATTGATCCCTCGGTTTGCCTAACTTGCATACTTAGATGCAAACGATTTAAACCGTTGTTATGTTATATGTATGTAAGGCTATGCATAATATTATACATATGATATATAGATCATAGATGCAATTATGTTTGAATGAATAAAGCAATCCCGAATTACTTTTTAGAAAGAAAAGAAAAATGCAAAAGCACGTTATTAAACGACGTGTAAAGAAAATCAAAAGAAATGAAGGAGAAAACAAACTGCTTGGGTTCCTAGTCTACACCTGCCAGTCGTTGTCGGCCAAGAAACAAGGCAATTAACAAAAGAAAAACGTTAATAATTCATATGGTAATCTAAATATTCTCACAGTTGAAAAGAAAACGAACTAGGATTGGATCCCGGCTCTCTAGTGCAATGAGTATGGAATTCATTGGACCAATCTTCACACAAGTCTGGGCCCTACAAATGGTGGACCCCACCTGAATATAATTGACAAAATTCGATTAACTAATACGAATTGATGCAAATTTAATAAGTTCGGATGATAAATAAGTGAATTCGCTTAATCCACGTAATAAACGAGTTGTATTCAGGTAGAGTACTTTAACCCATTTATCATCCAATTATTTAACGAATAAATTGATATATTACTAGATTACCCGTTTATTACCTAATTACTCGTTTGATAAATGGTCGAATTTATTATAGAATAAAAGTTTTTAATTAAGAGTTTTTTGTGTTGGAT